AAAACAAAATGGTGTCCAAACAAAAACTAGCAGGTTGCTGTAGCAGGGTTGGTCGCCAAAAAATTGCCAAATTACCATAATCCAAAGATTAACCCAAATAAGAAATAAAACAGGAATTTCTGTTTTGTTTCTTTATTTCTGCATTATAGCTTTTAATGCTGTTTCGCCCACCTTCAGAAAATTGTGAATGAAAGAAAAGTTCATTCTAGGATATGTGAAAATATGTCTTGTTGCTTGTAAGGTTTATGTGTGCTGTGCTGTTCTGGTTTATATAATTTTATGATAGTAGTATTTTTATGGATATCTTATGCACATAAAGAGGGATATTAAAAAATGAAAGGGTTCAGATCTTAACGTTTGCCTAAGAGGACTCTTTTAAAATTTAATGTGATTTATCAGCATTGATTATCAATAGAGATGGCCAATGTGAAATGGTGAAATATTTTATACGATTCTATTAGGGGTGTTCAAATGAAAAGGTATGAAACAACACTATGAGTATATTAAAGTGTTTATGCACAAGTAATCAGGAGAGGCCTAAGTGCAACTATCCCACTGTTTCACAAGCTGAAGGAATCCCTTTTCCAGAATTCCTGCAGCTGTGACATGAGCCAGTCCTCCACTGTGTCCTTCAGTTTATTGAAGTGCTTCCCTCTGAGATGTGACTTCTCACCAGGCCATTCACTTTGTTGATGAATTCAGCCGTGATTACCATGTTTGCCTGGCTTGGTCTCGAGTCATCACTCAAATACTGTAGGCCTTCGTGAAAACAGCACTCTACTTTCTCACTGATTTGTCTATCGGCCAGTTTAACCCTTCTACAGTCAGAAATCTGATAACACCTTACTGTTTCTCAATTGTCGAATCTTGCAATGTGAATGCCATGATGCCTTCACACTCACTACTGCATCAAGTGGATGGAATGCACAACTGCCTACTTCTTTTCCTGTGTCATGTGCAGGCACCCAGTGCATGTGCACAACCAGGCTGGGCACTACATTTGCGTCCTTATATGTCTCACTGCATTATGCCAAAGTAGCATATTTAAATTTGAACCTGTTTGTTGTGACATTTTATACCTTTTCTTTTGAACACATATAGTTGAACATATATTTGGACTAACATGGAATGTTAGGTATGTTATTTATATTTGAAAAGTGAAAAAAATATTCAACATAATTCTTTAAGGATATTATTAATTAGCTTTTTAAGTAGCTATATTATAAATTAAATGCATTTTTATTTAACCGAGTCAGATTCAAAAATAAAAATAATAATATTCTGAAGCATATATTGCTATTCTATTGCTTTTTGCTTCTATTGTGTTTAAATACCTTAGTTTATTCATCAGTAGCAGGCAGACTAAATCTGAAAGATAAATATCTTATAGTTTTCCAAACGGTCACAGAATGAATGAAAAGGTAAACAATACAAAATTGCATTTCAGTACTCATAAGCCTATTTAGGCCAATAAATTCGTTTCTAAAGTTTTCAAATTATTGATGCTAACAATTTGCTCGACCACCTGAGTATTTATGTAAGAAAATAACATGCAATGTTTTTATAATTTATACTGTAGTTTTTATAATGCATAAATAGTATTCTTTTGAAAATTCTTCTATTTAAACAAATAATAATATAAAATTCCTTTATTTAAAGGCTGCAAAATCTAGGTCCATCTGGCAGGCACCAAATATTTCTTTCCACACAAAAACATACAGTTTATGTGTAAATTTGACCATTCTGCCGTCTAGTGAGGTTTTGTCACTGACCTTGCATGCCTGAAACAATTTCATCAGCCCATAGTTCTTTTCTGTACCTGCTAATGAGCATTGCTTTTTTTTTTTCTTCTGAAATATAATTGATAAACCATATTAAACTTCAAAAGATCTTTTTTTTGCTAATTATTAAAATCTGAACCCTTTAATTTTTTTTCCTTCTTTTCTTTCTCATTCAGTGTTTCATTACTTAATGAAACTGAAGTTATTATAAAGAAAAAATCATTGTATATTGGCTATGAACTCTGCTTAACTAAATTAAGAGGGCAGGCAATTTAGATAAACAGACAAATGCTGCTAAATATGCAGCACAAAATTAAATTTTTTTTATGAAAGTGACATGTAAATAAAAATTCAAGAAAGTATGATTTTATGGGAAACACACCTTTTATTATAAAAAAATTCATTCCTTTCAGAGAAAAAAAAGAGGTATGCATGTATTTTGTCAGACTTTTAGAAAAGAGCATTACCGTCTTGAATATGTAAGATGTTAAGCTTTACATGAGACACTGAGTTGATTACGTGATAAGTGAGGTTTTGGGAGATTCTTCCTAGGCTTTCTGACTGAAGGTACAGTAACTGAGGTTAACCCAAGAAGACGCGCGCTACTTTTAGCTACGCAAAGACGTGCGTCGGGCTCCGTAGGTCAGAAGCATTTTTCTTAACAAAACAAAAATAAAATTGCTTGTGTAATTAAAGAAAAACATTTAAATAATAAAAAAAAAAGAGTGTACAAAATATAAAAATATACTTTTAATTTAATAAGTCTAATCAAATTGTATTTAAAAACAATTTTAAGACTGAAATTATTTATCATTACCAACAAAAATTAAACTGATTTCTTTTTGAGCGCAGATGAAATTTAGTACCAATTTATGCAATATTAAATTTTTACAGCAATAATTTCAAAATAAAACTTACATTTCACATTTTTTTGCAAATAATCGTGCTGTGTTTACCACAAGCATTTTTCTCGCACATAGTGCAGCAAATTTGTGATTTTCGGTCCGTTGCGCCAAGACTGTAAAGTTTTACGCAATTTTCAACGAACTTTTTAAAGTTCTTTAACTTTTTAAAGGCATATCTTATCGGAGCCAGTTTATTTATTTCCCTTCTAGAAAAGCGATCTCTTATGTCATCAAATCTCAAACATTTCATTAGAAATAAAAAAACTTTTGTTAGACATTGTTCGATGAAAAATGTCAAGTACTGTTCCGTCAGTCACCCAAAGGTCGAGAACATTTACGTGAGAAGCCTTGTGGAATCTTCCAAAATAAAGAAGACCGATAAATGCTCTGATTTCTGTAATATATGTGGATCAAGCATCTCTCTGTCTTCCAAATTTGATGGCAATGGATTCAATATAAATGTTTGCCCAATCTACTAGAATTTTTACTATTATTTTATCCATAAGCAGTTGCCAAGAATTCATTGGGGATTACACAAATTTTGCTTCACAAACATTTCCGAGCAATTTTCTCTCGTGTTGTAAGCAAGAGTTCTCACAGCAAGTCTTGGTTCTTTTTTATTCCATTTTGTCACGTAATATTTGCAAAAATAACAATTTGCTGATGGACACAATTTTACTTAATTCATTACTAGATTCATCGCTTGAGTCTAATGCCTCTTCAGAATTCGATTGGTGATCACTAAACTGTTTTTCACCAACTATTTCTTCGTCCTCTTCATTAATTGTATCTTCATTCAGTAGAAACTTTGGCTAATAGTTTCTGTAGTCTTTTCATTTCATCATCACAACTCAAATAGCAAGACCTTTTTGCAACTGCTTGATCGCTTTCACAATTTTAAATGACAATGCGAGCGCGCGCCTCGGGCCTGAGAAGCCCAGCTACTCAGTTTCTGAGAAAAGATGAAGGGTCAAATTCCGGAAATGCTTGTGAATGACAAGTACATGACCTTAAACGCAGCTACTGAGAAGGTCGAAAAATTTCACCAAAGGGAGAAATTTTTGTATTATGTTTTTGTAACGACCAGGCCTCACAGGCCTGACACGCGTTCTCGCGGGTTAAAGATCTATCAACAATGTATCCCGAAGTTCTACTAGATTCAGATCTGAGCACCATTCCATTTGCTCTGTTATTTCTTCATCATATATCAAGTTCATGAACTTGGCCATTTTTATGCATGAAAAGGATGGAATTGCCAGTGGCAGCAATATATGGCATTACTAAGATTTTAAGAATTTTATCTTTGCACGTCTGACCCATCAAGGTATCCATTCTGAATGATGTACAAGTCAGTACATCCATATAAGCTGAAGCAAATACACTACTTTCAGAAAAACATTTATTGTTTGGATTGCATTGCACTAAATTGTATTGAGTGTCACATTCTCTCCAGATCAGATATCATTGATTAGCCATCTCTGGGCCAAATCTTGATTCATTGGGAAAGAAAGGCTTGGCTCTGTATGTGTCTAATCTCAAGAGTTTCTCAAGTCCAGTTTCTTCAAGCTTCAAAATGTCTGAAGATAGGAATGCATACAACTAAGTTACACTCATAAAGATATTTGTAAATCGTTTGTGTAAGTTTCTTGAAGTTTCTATTGGTAGCTTTCTTTGCAGCTAGCTGGCATTTTGTCACCTGTTCAGGAGGACCATTATTAGCAAATAATGGTTAATCTTTAAAGTGATAACTTGTGAATGAGAGTGACCAGGATGTCTATGAAGATCTCCAATCCTTGGAACCAAATTTTGTGGTTATTTCTAGCTCACTCGAATTATGGGTTCTAGGATCTGTTGATGACTAGCTTTTCAGCTTGCTGTGGCTCATCATACGATGTTTTCATGCAAAATCTTGTTCATCCAGCATCCTGATCTGAGATAAATGCAAAAATCTGCTTGTCCTACACAGGTTTGAAAGAACCACTCAAATTTCAGACTTTCAAATCACATTAAAACAATGACTTCATTGCTAATTTGTATTTTAAACAGCTTTCTGTGCTGGCCTTTTCATTTTTCAGAGTAATAAATTTTATTTTGAAGCAGTTCAGTAACAATGCTTTACTGAACTGCTTTGAAATAAAAAAAATTTTTGGTAACCAAATACAAATGGAAGTGCAGGTTTTTCGTAAAAGCAAAAAATAGATGAGTTAGAGATTATATGAAGTGCAATAAAATGCTTTCAAATTCACTAAAGTTTTTATTGAAATCTAAAAGTAATATTTATACAGCAAACTAATTGTGATTTTATCCTTTTCAGTACATAATGAAGCTTGTTAAACGAGGCATCACAAGGAAGTGTGAGAGTGCAGGTAATTAAATTTGTTTGGCATATGCTGTAATTAAATGTTTTATATAAATTTAGTGTAATTTTATTCTTCTTTTTTAACTCAATGTTTAGTGTATTATTTTCTAATAGGCCTTTGTTACTCTTACAAATCTTATAATACAAGTTTGTTATAATACAATTTTGTAATACAAGTTTCAGTAAAATAATATTGCTTCAGATGCATTGAACCTGTTGTGGACACTATGCTGAGTCAATAAATACATGAGATAATTTACTAACTTAAATGATAATTCCAGAATGGATTAAGTATATTTTAATTCATAATAATATAAGAAGACATTAGGGCTACAATCACCAAAGCAATTTTTTTTTTTTTTTTTTGTTTACATTTTTTTTTTGTTGCCAATCTAGACAAACTAAACAAAACAAACAAAGATAATAATATATGTAGAGGGAACTGCTAAAAACCCTCTGTGAAATGAATTGATAGAATTTTGGATTATTTCCTTCATTTGAAGAAGTGATTGTCTTAGAGACAAGCAAGTTATCTCATTTATGAAATGAAAACTGAGTGCCAAGAAGATTTAAGTAAACTTTTTTATTGAAAAAGTCTTTAGCTGAACAAAAGGCAGTACTTGTGCTTACGTTTTAAAAATTTATGGTTTCCAGGCAATCAGCAGAGAGTCTAACTTAGAATTTTAATTCATTTAATGCTGGGGAATACAAATGCAAAGAGCCCAACTAAGCATTGGCTGAATTTTACCAAGTGTACAGTTTACATTTTGTACAAAATTGACTAGTGCTGGATAACTAATATGATAGCACAGCTGGTGAAAATAATAGTACTACGTTTATCATCACTGCTAAAAGCTCTGTAAAACTTATTTTCTAGAAAAAATAATTTGTTTGTTGTAATGAAATTTTGCTCGCGAATGCCTAATACTGTATGCTTTTGCGTCTAAATAAACTATTAGGCTCCCAGCGTATCTTAGAAGATTCCAGACTAATAAACACATTCTAAAGTATTGATGATTTATTTTTTTAAATATGTTTGGATCTTAAATAAAACATCACTCTTCTAAATAACAAAGTATTCTTTAAAAACCCAACTAAGTATACACACATATTTTTTGACTAATTCTGTAAGCTGTTTTGATGCCATTTCGTATTTAACAATAATTATTAGTGAGCAGAAAATTAAGTAAATAAAATTAAATGGAAGTATGTATACAATACAAATTACATGTCATCTGAAATCTAACTTTCTCCCATCTACTAAAAAACTTAAGGAGTAAAACTTTTGAAAAGAACTACAAAATTTTAAAATTGAAAGGGAAAGCTAAACCTAAAAAAGTCTAATCTTTGGATATGGCTGGTTTCTCTTCCATGCCTGGTTTTGATAGTTTTTACATCTTTCTCGTCGTTTTCCAGAAATTGAAACCATTCTGAAAGATTCCTAGAAACACATTACAAAATGAAAAATGTCTTAATGGTGTTAAGTTATATGGATGTATTTAACAAAAAGTTTGTGATTTATTTCTTATGTTTTGGAGAATTTTTGGAAGAATGATGAAAACATAATGTTTGAATGTTTTACTTCTGATCCTAGAAGTCATTTTCCTAACACGCTTATCTTTCCTTTATTTTCTGTTCTTTTCACTAGATACAAGCATGGAAAATATCAAAAATTCTTCTGATCTTGTCACACGGGTAGGTATCTATAGAAATGAATTTATTGATTAATAAAGAAATTGAAAACTGACAATTTAAAAGATCTGTCTTATATGTCTCAATGCATCATACACAGAGTATGCTAGGCATTTTCCCACCTGATGCAATCTCTCTTAGTCCTAAATTCTGCTGCCTGGTGCCTTCCTTAATTTCTGCTGCCTAGTACATTCTTAAATTTAGGACAGGCACTGTTCCTAGCGCCTGTCCTAAAAGTTTGTCATTTTTAGATTTTGTTGCTCGGTGCGTCGCTAAATTCTAAAAATTCTACCACACCAGCTCTATAACTGTCCCTGACCATATAGCACTTCATATTTATTCTCAATATTCATACTACTAAAGATATAAAATTAGCAGTTTCTTCTATACATTCTATAGCATGTAATTTTTTGGAGTAACAGAAATCTTTAATCAAATTCCAAAAATTCTAAACTGAAGAGGAAACTTGAGGTTAGAAACTGCATACATAAAGAGAAAAGAAAACTATTCTTCAGAGATATATGCAGTTATTGTTACGTAAATTAACAAGTTGTTGACAGGGTGTGTTTCTGGCCACCACTTGCACATTGCATTAATTCTTGCCTGTTCTGATAATTTGTAGTTATTTGGCTTTACGCTGTTCGGGTCAACATTTGAATTTATTTCGATGATAAAAGTTACTGAGCCAGCTTAGATTAAAATTAAATTGTGTAGTCAAATTTTTAATTTGAATTTCACTACTCTAAGTCTAATACTAAAAAGGAACGTAAATTCCAACATTCATATTTGAAATGAGATAATACTCTAAAAAGCAACATATTTGACTGTGATATTTAAATGACTGCAACTATGCAGTGTTTAAAAGTATGTATAAAATACCAAAAGAAAAGTAATAGAACTTCAATTTAGTATTAATAAAAGTTATTTAGTGTTTTTTAAGTACAGTCAAAAGACGTTAATCCGGACTCGTCGGGACTCGGTGATTCCGGATTATAAATCATCAGTTTAAATCTGGTAAGATGGCATGCAGAAATTATAAAATTAAAAATATGAAACCGTAATTTATAAAATAAAGAACAATTATGATCTAAAGGGTATCAAAATTTACAAAAAAAAAAAAAAAAAAAGCTTAATATTTATTTGCTTAATATTACTTTATTAAAAAAGCTTAATATTACTTTATTAAACATTTCTTTCAATGTAAGTTGTTTAAGTTGCTTCATTTTATGTAATAATACTTTCTCTTTAATTCTATAAACAGACATAATTTCTTGTTCATTTACAAAGTTCCACTGTTCAAGTCCTGTAATTGCTGTGTTGAGAATGCCGACTAATTTGTCAATCGCAATTTTTTCGTTTTCAATAACCTCTGTGTCACTTTCTTCACTGTCAGAAGCGAATTTTAATGATGAGGAATTTGATTTAAATCATATGAAAGGCGGAGTACATCGAGATGAAAAACTACATTTAGTAAGGAATTATAAGTCAAATAAAATAAAAACATCCGCCCTGAAGATAAGGATAGTGCTGACAGATCAACTTCCAATTTATTGCACGCTGCGGCGTTCCCCCCGATAAACAGATTTCGGAATGGTTAGAGAAACAAATATACTCTATAGAAACAAATATACATATACCTTTATCCATTTTTTGCAACAATTCCACTTTTTGTTTGATGGACATCGAAACATACTTTCACTTTGTAGATCCTTTGGGAGCTCCAGCATCGGAAATTCTATTTGACATAATCGAAAGTTCAAGCTTACTGTTATAAAATTGCTCTAACAGTCTGCAAAAAATAATAAGCCGAATTCAATTCAAAGATTAAGGAACAATGCAATCTGCAGCATTAACTGAAATAGATAATTAGATAATTTTAGCTTATACCGTTCGCTATACATTAAATGCGCATGTGTAAACGTATTATGCGCATGCACACACGCATATGCGCAGCCGTAAAAGTTTTCAATGCGACGCATGCGCAGAAAGTTTGTAGCTTTGAGGTCCGAATTAACGACTTTTGATTGTACAATTAAAAGTGCAAATAATTATGGATTACAGTATTTGGTAGTGATGCTGATGTTTCTAGTACCATTTCTTTTGATCATATGTAAATGTATATTCTGCATCTTAGGATAATGGTAGAATTACTGTGATCTTTTCATATGCTTTTTGAAATAAATAACTTTCTTTGCATACAAATTTCTACTGCACAAAAAAATGGTTTGAATAATATACGTGGTAGTAATGGTTTAAATTATGTACGCTGCGTGAAAAAGAAAAAAAAAAAAAAAAAGAGACAGTTTTATGTCTCCAATTCTACTGGGCCAATTGACGAAATGATTACGCATGCAGAGAATTGGACTTTTTCTGAAATAACATGCTAATTTTTTTGCATATTTCAATTCTATAACTCAAATTATGCCTACATATTAAATTTTGTAAAATTTGGTGCAAAATTTACGGAGTAATTAAAACATTTATCTGGGTGCTTTTTTTTCTTTTCTTTTTTTTTTTCTTTTTTCTTTTTTTTTTTTAAGTTTGCACCAAGAATAGTTCACTTGGCGAACTTTTTTCCCTTCACATTGTGTGTGAGCAGAAAAAAGTCACATCATTCTTTCTTTCAAATAATGTTCTTTAAATTATATTTTAATTATAATTGTTTTTTTAAACAATTGTTTTCTTTTTCAAATTTCCTTTGAATTGTTTAAGTTGCATGGTTTCTTTCAAATAACTGTTTTAAAAATTTCTATTTACTAATTGCAACTGCATAGTTTAAATAAAAGTTGCATCGTTTATTTTTTTCAAATAGTTTTCATTACTATATTTTTGTCACAGTTATTATTTTAGGTAATTTTGAAAGTTTTAGACTTTTATTTTAAATGTTTGCGTTGCATTGTCTCGTCAGATAATTAGTTTAAATTTTTTTAATATAAATTATTTTTGACTGATACATTATTTTAACATATAAGCATTTTACGATATATTAAAAAAAATCTTTGAAGAGCATAAAAATCTGATGGAGGTCACGAAAATTTCGCAAAATCACAAGTCATTAAATTTTTGTTGCACAATTTTGTCAAAAGTCACAAATTTATGAAAAATTGCACGATCTGGCAACACTGATTAAGCAGTGGAAGGAAAACTATACTCTTTATGATGATAACAACAGACTCTGTACTCATTGTTATGATAATAAGTATCATGTATTTGAATACATGTATTCAAGTCATGCATTCAAACATTTGTGTTTATAGTGTTTTCTTAACCTCACTCTCTCTAAAGCTATTTTTACGATCAGCTGTACTTTAGGCCCTTGATAGCTTCGCCGTTAGTGAGTGTTAAGGGGACAACTCTGTTAGAATCTTAGCTTCGGCTGTATCTTTTTAGTTTAGTTAAGTTTTGTTTCGTAGCATTCCTGAGTTCAAGCCCAAGTTGAGGCTTTATTGTAAAACTCCAAGAAAGGAGTCGTCTGTTAAATTTATTTTGTATAATAAAGGAAATTCAACCCTTCGTAAGTTTACGCTTCTATCACTCTGAATTAAAGTGATTATTTGCTTATCAGTTCTGCAGTACACATTGCAGTACTTCTAAGTTTGAAACCTTACAACCTATTTACAAACATTTTTTAGTAAGCAGAGTATTAAAAAAAAAAGAAGAGATAATAAATTTAAGAGAAATAAATTGAACACTTTTGCCGCTTAAGATAGCAGTTATTTCAACTGTGTAATGTAATAAATTTCTGTTTGAGAGTAAATTGATAATAAAGATTTGACGACAGCATTTTAAAAAACTTTGCATATTCAACAGAAAAATTGTATGTGGGAGAAACGATAAGCATAAATACTACTTTTACAAACAAAATAGTCTGAAAAAAAATCAGCCCTGTCAGGAAAAATATACTGGCCCTAAGCCCCCATATGAAATTTCGTTATACATATAAATTATCAACATCATCATAAAAAATAATTTTACGAAATAAAAATATACCTTTGGGCAGAAAAGTAAGACTTTATTCATATATATATATATATATATATATATATATGCAAATAAACTACAAACAATAAATAACAGTGACTAAATAATTATTTAAGCCAAAAAAATGGTTGATTCATAATTAGCCATTTAAATATTAATTCCAGTCGCCTGGCAAATATTTCCTCTATTATATCTTCAATTTTTGCTTTAATCAAAATATACTTCTGTATATTTACTCCTAATTGTTACTCCTAATTAGCTTGCACCATAGTGGTCTATTATCTACTTTTTACAATTTTTGATTTTGAAAAAGCTTTTTTGCATTCAACTTGTACTATAGATAAAGTGAGTACAAACTTCTAAGCAAAAACAAATTATCTTTGCAATCGAACGTGCCAAAAATTTATTTCAATGCGCAGTATTCGAAATTCCATCCAGTTTCACCGATGAGATGAAGCTTTCTAGATTTGGTTTTATCACCGATTCCTCTCCACACATCCATTCTTTGATAGGAATTTTTAAAGAATTTTCCACATTCATTTATTAGGAGAAAAAAAAAGAAGTTCCTTCTAAAACGTCATTCGTAGAAGCCACCCATACTAAATTTAGAGCATTGGAGTAACACTAAATGTGAATTTGGTGAGGTGCATTTTCACTCACCCATTTAGTAAAACCATTAAAAGCACCTCTTGCATTTGATGTGCCATCTGTAAAATTGCTGATATATTTTCTAACATCAATGTTTATTCTCTCTAAGAAGTTGATCATACTGCACATACCGAGTCCAGTGGAATCTGTACAAGGTAAAATACCTATCAGTCTTTTGTATATGTTTTCTTTGTAAAGATACCTAATAACAACTGAACATTGGTTCATTTATTTATGTCAGTAGTAGTATCAAGTTGAAGTGAGTAAAAATTCGCTTCTGGAATCTCAGCTAATATTAACCATCTCATGACATTCTTGATGCTAGTTATGATGTGATCTATCATCACTTTAGATAACAATGTTATGCTACTCCCTCTAGATTGATGATCGGCATGTTTCATTATAACATTGATATGCCTCTGAAAAACATATTCGTATTTTGAAAGTAATCGTATCGTTTCCAGGAAATTTCCGTGATCAACATTAACATCTGTTAAGCTTCGTGCATTTATGAAAATGTGCAAATCCTATGACTTCAGGAAGCAGTTCCTCTTTCCCCGATAAACTGAACCACATAGTAATTACTTTCATTACTCGATTTCGTTCGATTGCATTGTTTGGCGGATCATTGATGTTTCCTTTTATATTCATAGTATGTGCTTCTGTACATTTGTCGTAAATTTTACTCACTTCATGTTCATTCACGAGTTGTATTACGCGGTGCCATTCTCTCATTCCTCCATTAACAAAAGTACTTTTCTTAGAGTTGGGACAATACAGATGATATTGAGAATTTTAAATAAATTAATTTTGATTTGTATACAATTTCGGTTTTTATTTATTTATTTAATTAATGAAATACATTTCCCAAAAATCTATTTCTTTGTTAGATTCCATGTTAATTATTTCTTGAACATGCATTTCTGTTAATCATGAACCGTACATATAGAAAAGTTTGATTTCTTTCTTTCTTTCTTTTTTTTTTTTTTTTTTTTTATTTAAGCACATGCTGAGCAAAAAGACAGAGCCACCACAGCAAAAAAAGAGGTCTGCCCGAACCAGTCCACCAGAAGCAGAAAACCAGAGAATGAGGTAAAAAAAATCTTTTCCTCGGTATTTCTCTAAATCATATGTCTAAAAAATTCATGAATTTTCACTTTATTTTAAACATTCAAAATATATTTTAATCATTACAGCTGTATTTTTATACATCATAAATTAAGGAAAAATCACAAAAATCACGATTACTGAAAAAGTTACGTGTAGAATTTTGTGAAACTTACCCACAATATACAACACATAGTAAGGTATCAAATATCATAAAAAGAAATTACCAGACAAATGTGGTAGTATAGAAATTAGCACATGTATAAAATGAGCAAATCGCAGGTGTCAGTTTGCTATAGGAAAAGTACCTTCAATATGGAATATGATCGCCTCTAGAAGCAATATAGCGCATACAGTGATGTGTGATGCTTTCAATTATGCGGTCTATCAGTTCCATAGGAAGCAAGAGCCATTGCTCTTGCAAAGCAGTTGCAAATGCGGCAAGGGTCTAAGGGGGCGGATTGAGAGCAGCTAGACTTTTCCCTAAAGCATCTCAAACGTGCTTGATACAGGGTTCATACAATCCTTAAGAATCCTTAAAAGTCCTTAGATTTTTTGGAATCGGTTTTTGGTCCTTAAAAGTCCTTTTGGCCAAACTCAGCAGAAGGTCCTTAATTTTAATCATCTGAAATTTCTGTCTGTTTTTATGACTGCCATTTTGAGTGGGAATTGGCATGTTGGAGGAATATTTTTGGCGATTCACTGACATATATGGTTATCTTTTGAATGGGTTATAATTTGTTTCTATTTTTAATAAAAATTTAATGATGTCTCGTGTAAGGTGTATTTTTTCCCATGTAATTGTCTCAGAATATGTGTCGGTTTTCTCTGTAAAATTAATTTTACACTTTTCTCCGATTTTTTTTTTTCCCCAAAATATTTCTGTCTTTTTTATGTTGCAGAATCGGTAGGTATATTTTTTCTTTAGGATTTTGGACATTGCAGCTTGGAAAGTTTAGAAAGATTTGAAGGCAAGATTTATAGACCCATGATTCTGGAAGATTCCAGAAAATTGTGACAAAATGAAAAATGTCTCCATGGTATTAATACATAATTTCTTACTTTTGGAGAACGTCTGGAAAGAACAATGAAAACATAATAGTTGAATGTTTTACTTTTGATACTAGAATCTTTTTCTTAATATTTTTATCTTCCCTTTGTTTTCTCTACTTTTCACTAGACACAAGCATGGCAAATGTCAAATATGCTTCTAATCTTATCACATGGACAGGCACTATAGAAAAGAATTTTTTTATTAATAAAGAAATTTAACTGGCAATTTAAACGATGTCTTAATGCATTATACAGAGGGATGAGGCTAGGCATTTTCCCACCTGATGGAATCTCTGTGGATTTTAAATTCTGCTTCTAATGCCTGTTCTAAATTCTAAAAGTTTTGAGAGTTTCTAGATTTTGTTACTCGATGTGTCACTAAATTCTAAAAATTCTATCACACCAGCTCTGTAACTGGACCTTACCATATATATTTCATATTTCTTCTGAATATTCATATTACTAAAGAAATAAAATTAGTCGCTTTCTCTATACATTCTAAATGCGTTTAGTGTTTTTAGAATAACAGAAACCTTTTATTAAATCCAAAAATTCTAAAATGAAAAGGGAAATTATTCTTCAAAGATATGTACAGATATTATTATGTAAATTACCTAGTTGTTTACAATTTCAGCCTTTACTATAATTTTCCATTTCTTTTTTCTCACCAGACTTGCACCAAGTCACTTAGACAGTTTTTAAACTGAGGCTTTTGGAGTGTAACACAAGAGTGTGTTTCTGACCTCCACTTGCTCCCTGCATTAGTTCCTGCCAGCTCTGATAATTTGTAATTATTCATCTTTACATTACCGCTGCAGACAATTGAATATTTTATGATGATAGAGTTACTCAGTCAGCTTAAAATGAAATTAAATTGTAAATTAAAGTCTGATCACTTGTCCATATTTTTAGTTTGAATTTGATTCTTTTTGTTTAATTACATCATCATGAGCTGTAATTGATTTTGTTAGCACAAGAACATGCCTTTATGTTATAAGTTCTTTTTAAATAAGAATCTTATTTAAACCTTTGTCTGGCTTTGTAGTTACTTTCAGACATAGCGATAATTTGCTTCACATCTGTCTGGAGGGTTTTGGACTATTTAACTTTTACCACATCAATTAAACCCTCATAGGTACATTTTGGAGAGGTTGACACGTTAGGGAGGTAAAACACACAGAAACTAGTGAGAACATTGCCTTGCATATTGAGACAAAGTTCTAACTGTTAGAAAAGATGCTTAAAAAGAAGAAAATTGTTATAAATTAGCCAAAATGTCTAGGAAGGCTTCCAAATAAAAGGATGCATAAATATTTTGTTGAGTGTAGTTACTACATTAATGTGTAATTATCCTAATATCGTTTAAGAATCAGTGTCATAAATTACATGCATTTTAAACTGTGAAATTTTATTAGATTCTGATTTTAATAGGGCTTTTTTAACAAATATTGTTAAAAAAGAAATGAAATTTAATAGTGCCCATGTAAATCCATAATGACTAAGGTTATCCAATACCTAATTTAATTACTTATAACTAACTGGTTACTCTTGAAAATTATCTCTGCATTTTAAAGCGAGTTATTGCCTTTCATTGACCCTTATCGGGGTCACAAGCTAAATCACAGAAATGTAAAAATTCATGTAAAACCTGTTCTTCGCATCTAGTGAGACTTGAAATAATGCAAAACAACTTATCATCTCTGGTGCTTTAGTGGATTATTAGGACCATAAAGTATATTAACTGCGTTACAACCCCTGGAACTCTACAAGAAGTACCACACTAACTGCGTCAGACAGAGCCTAGCTAACTTTCAAAACTTGCGAACCGTGTTTACATCAGGCCTTTCAGGTTTGTTTTGATCAGCAGCTCTCTCTCCAGGCAAGCAGGAGCAGCAACAACAGTCAGTCTTTTATTTTGAATCATGCTGATTGTGATTTTACTTCTCATTAACCTCTGCCACTTGACATAACTCTGCCACTTGACATAAAATCTACTTATTATTTACTAAATCCCTAGACAGAGCAAGTATGTGACAAAATGAGACATTAAAAAAAAATCAACATAAAGCTAACTCTTAGTAGCACCTAAATAATCTTTCAAATATGTCCAGTTATTATGAATGTAAAATATTGAATGCTACTTGATAAGTTTCATAAGGTTTATTTTATCGTCAAACTTATTAATAATTGTGTTTAATAATAATGCATCCTACTTATCTATTTCATTTTAAGAATGGTATTACAAAATTGAAGTTCAGCATAGATAATATTTTTAATTGAATTTATTCAGTTCCCATTTGCTTATAGGTCCTTAATTGTTTTCATTAATGGTCCTTAAAAGCACTTAATTTCCGTGTGCAGAAATGTCCCTGAAATTAGTAGTAGTAAATTTTTCACAAGAATTTTATTTACGAAATCCCTAGCAGATATATTATTCTTTTTTAAGACTCAAATGTTTCTATTTTTATAAAACAGGAATATCAGTAGTTCTTCAACACCATAATACTAACTAAGCGATTTCACTTTTTTAATTTTAAAGAAAATTTAAGTAACAGTTTCCATGATTTTAAGTTCAGTACAAAGTCCGAAATTCGGATGTCCGTTATCCGGAATGATCTAAAATTTGGACCTCAAAACCACCAACAAAATTTTTCTCGTATGCTTTACGCATGCGCATTTGATTTCCCCCTCCGTGCATAATAAAACATCTGGAGAATCCTGATTCTTAATTTCGACACTAAACAAAATACCTTGTTATTGAACAAACATTTTAGCATAATGTACTGTCAGTAATTTGGCTCTGTTGCTGCGTATTTGCTTGGCACGCATCTCAAACCAAAACATTCCACATAGATACATCATTGATCTGGCATCAACCTGGCGAATCATTAGTTATTATACTTTCCTTTTATTACTGCATGTTTATCAAAACATGACAACTTGAGTAATGACTCATGTAGCGATACCTAAATAATTTTTTTATGTTAGTATTTGAATAATAAAAGAGGGTGGTAACCTTTTATGTTGACATTATGCTTGGCGATGATTACAGATTTCAGTTACGGTAAAATATGTTGACAAGGAAAAATTTACCAAAAATTTCTTTCCGTATGCTAAAAATAGATTTTTGTTGATGATACTCATAGACCCAAAGATTACATTTAGATCATAAATACTTCATTATTTCATAAATCGTGATTTCATATTTTTAATTTTATAATTTCTACTTGCCATCGTACTAGATTTAAACTGATGATTTCTTATCCAGAAAAATCCCAAATCCGGAATCCTCGAAGTCTCGACGAGTCCAGATTTCGGACTTTGTACTGTATATATTTTTTGTTGAATGTCAGTATTCATGCACTCGTAGTCAGTTGGTGGTTATATATACAGTTGTATTAATACAGTCATTTGTGCATTAGTTGAAATTTTCAGCATTCAGACTGCTTTAATCTTCAATTTTAGTTCATTTTTTGTATAAATATCTCTCTGGGTGACCGCAGAAAAGTAGGGTTATAACTTTGAATGTTGTTTAGAAACCTGAAGCATCATTAATGGGAATTTCTACAAATCTACGTATTTTGAGACTGAAGTGCTAAATAGTACCTTTGTTTTATAGAATCCATACAGAATCTCATTTTATCCAAAATAAGTGTATTTCAACGGAATGGTAAAATGTAGTAAGGCTTTGTAATATACGTGTATCCTTCCCAAAAAGTATTTTTCAATGATATTTTGCATATGTGCACATGAAAGTTTCTATCATTGTAAAAATTTCTATATATCGAGCTATATTTCGCATAAGTTATTGTTAAATAAGAAGCTTATTTAAACCTTCGTCTGGCTTTGGTTGCAACTTCATTTTGCAATATACTGTTGACTATAGAAAGATAGGTCTTTATAAATTCAATCACGCAGTTATCTTTATGCAAAAATGTTTGGATTGCAGTTAGATTTTTCCTTATTATGAGTTCTGTTTGGTAAGAGATTTCAAAACATTGCTTTTATAGAATCTCATAGTTTACTTACATTTATTTTTTTTTTTAAGAAAGGAGTTGTTTTAGTTTTGTGATTAAGACACATTTTGCATTTCATTCGTTTAGAAAAAGAAAAATCAATTTTGAAACATAAAAATACATATGTGTGATTTTATGATCTGCAGACAGTTACCATCCTGACATCAAAATGCTTTTTTTAAATAAAAATAAAATTAATAGAAGATTTGAAAGAAATTTTGTTTCCTTTTTAGCAGGATCTCATTATAGGAAAATGTACAAAAATAATATATGGGGTATAAGTGTTTCGTATGAAATCTGAGATTTTAGAAGTATTTTAGAAGTGATAAATGTGTCACACTCAGTTCCATTTATTTCATAATTCTTTGGTCTTTCTTGTCCTCTTCTGTAATACCTAAACATTCGAATGATTAAACATGAAAGGCACGAATGATAATTTTCTTGATAATAATAATTCTGTTAATAAAAAGATTTTGTAGTTCTTTTGATGTAACACCTAAGTGACACTTGCTATTGCTATACTAATCTCACTAGATATATGTCTGATACCTCTTACATTGAACATGCATGTTATTTAGCACAATGTCTTTGGATTTTAAGAATGAGAATTCTTGATGTGTAATCCTGTTTGAATGCTTGAAGGAGCTATTGTGTGACATCAGGAAATACACAATGATATGGGGTCTTTTCAAAACAGTATCAAAAGCAATCTCCCATTCATCGGACTCCAGTTTTCATTTTCCTTTGAAAATCTGACAGGCAGCTCACAATGACTACTTACAAAGCTGTTGAAAAAAACTCAAAAATTCCGATCTACAAACTCGTATTTTTTTCATAAATTATAATAGTTTTTATTTAATGTCAAGACCTCATAAAAACTGGCATACACCTAGTTCACGATTTTTTATGTCTGAGTAAAAATGTAAGAAATATTTGTAAAGTGTACACTAGCTATTCAAAGTTTCTAAAATATTTATGTTACTTTTAAAGCACTCAGCACCAACTGCAAGCTCATCTCCTCCTCCCCAACACGTAAGTTTTGTGCTTCTTTATATATATTATAAGGAAAACTATTAAGTATCTGTCATTTCAGATTTTTAATTCATAATTTAATTAGAGTTCTTCCTTAAATTTGATTTAGCTTAGTTATTAGCTTTTTTATCATGGTTTAGTGTAGGAGCTTTTAGTAGACACCACTTCTTAATTTCCCAGTTGAAGTTAAGTCTCATTGTTGTTAACATCATTATGTTCTGTTAAATGCTTAAATAATCTAGACTGTAGTAGTGTCCTTCATGGTTATTGCAAGGAATCATTTCTTTTCATGGAATGGTAATTTTGAGGTGTTAGATGTAGATCTTCATAGTATAGCATAGTATAATATATGGTAGCAGTAAGAGAATATGAAATAATAGTCTTAAACATTTCCCTTAAAGATGTGTAAAAAAGTGTCATCCAAAGGATTTATATCATGTCAAGAAAATATCTTCAACTGCTGTAAAGCTGCTAGCAGCTTGGAAAATGATTCAAGTTTGTTCCACATCCTAATGGAGTTTATGCCTCACCTGAGACCTTAAGCAGTGACTGACATATTGAGTCGCTCATGCAACTGCCTTGCTCATACCCTACAGTTTTTTTTATTTAGAGACATGTTTTGCATGCCATTCTTTTAGAAAAAGAAATTCAGTTTTAGGAAATGACGATACAGATGTGTGATTTTATGATTTGTAGGCAGTTACCATTGTGAGATCAAAATGCTTTTTTAAGATTTGAGAGAAAATAAACTTGATAAAAATTTTGAAATAAATTTCATTTACTTTTGAATAGAATCTCTATATAGCAACATGCACATAAATGACGCATGGGGTATCATTTTTGTAGGCAATCTGAAATTTTAGGGCTTAAATTTCAGAAGCAATAAATGTATCATAGTCAAATCTATTTAGTGCATAATTTTGGGGTGTTAAGTTCTTCATAATGTAGGATAGTATAAAAAATTATGACAGACATAACTCACCATAAATGCACACAAAGAACTCGAAAAATTCACGTCCAGCATTTATTTTAGTTTACTTAATGTCAATACCTCATAAAAATTGGCATGCAGCAATCTCAAGTTTTTTATATGGGATTGTAAATGTAAGAAATATTTGTAATAGGGGCCACTATGCTAATAATTGTTTCTAAATATATCCTACTTTTATAGGGCAACGAAAAAAAAAGGGTGAGGTTGTACAAAAGAGTAAGCTTCTACAGATCTCCTGCTCCATCTCTTTGCGTACCCGAAGTAAGTTTTGTGCATCTTTAATATATTTTTGCAACAGAAATGGAAATAAATGGTGGTTCTAGTCTGGTAGCATGATGGTTCCATTTCAGGCAGCTGATACTTAATAATGATATTTTTTTTCCAAATTTCACAACACGGTGTTCTAAAACAAGTCTCTTTCTTTAAAATGCAAAAAAAAGTTTGATAAGATATGATTAAACACGCCATTATAAACATTACGTCGTTGAAACTTTGGGTTCAAAAAATTTTACAATTACCTATTTGATGGCATATAAGACGCACCCTTATTTAGAAGGCCACACACAAGGGGAAAAAGTTTCAATAGTCCGCACGATAGCGCTGTACCACAATAACTTAAAATGTGGCTTCTTTTAGTTCTCACATTTCGTAAAACCAAATAAACAATCATTGAATGCAATTACCAAACATATTTTTATTAAGGAAAATTAACAAACGGCAAGCTATTTTTCCGATAGGTGGTGGACCGAAATGCCTTGCTGCTGCTCTGTTTCCATGCATTTTGGCGTAGTTTAACTCTCCTAGTTTATACTGAATTGTGTATAGCTTAATCTTTTGTATCCTGTAGTCATATTTTCCAGGGTATTTTTTTTTTAAACAAACAGTTTTAAGCACCAATACCGACACATTTATACAGAGTAGCACCGATACCGACACGTGTGTCGAATGAGTGAAAGAAAGTCTATGTAAAGAAGGAAAGGCTCCATAGACCGTGGAACCTGTTCAAACTTTGACATCAGCTTTGAGCTTTGGCGCTTTTTGGCGACAGATATTTCACGCATGCGCAAAATAATTGTGGCAGATGTAGAAAAAGTTATGTGTGTCTAGACCTTTATCCTGGCTAAAATAGCATTCAGTATTGAAACAGTTAATCTGTGTCCTTCACGTATAAGACGCAGGTAACTTTTTTGAGACCAAATTTAGGGAAAAAAAGTGTGTCTTATATGTCGTCAAATACGGTAGATCCATGAAATCTTACTATGCTGATCAATCGAGGGTGTGGTTTGAATGGTGTGACCAATGATGACTTAAATCAATTTATTACCAAACATGGCCATTTCCCCACTTATCTTAAAAGATTTGGTATTCAGGAAAATATTGCATGCAATTATTATAAAGTTTATGGCAACTGAGAACATTATTGTAAAGTTTATGGCGACTCGGTATGACTGCAAGTTCTTTGAATGAATTCGTCGTGCGAATTTAAAGCGCAATGTAGATAGGGTGGATCTTGTGAAACTTAACGGGATTGCCAGAGTATTTATGAATTATTTAAATTCTAATCGAAATGTCTGTGGTGTTGAGATCTGAGAATGTTCTCATCTTTTGTTTTTATTTAAAGTTGTGTGATTGATCTTATGTTTGTATAATATATAATTTTGAAAACTGCAGATAAAATAGGAGTATGTTTTGGTAGTATTTAGAATAAGCTTTGTAAATAAGTTGTTTTGGTAGAATATTATGTATTTTGTACGTTTTATTGTAATTGAAATTGTGCTGTTTTGAATTTTAAGATTTTAAACTTTTTAATTTAATTTTGATTTTAAAAATGTTTTAAATGGTAGGAGTGTTGATCTTTGATAGATCTTATTGGTTTATTGTGAAGTCTACCGGATAGAATTTGAATCCGATGGTTCGTATTGCTCCTGCTCACCAATTTGTCTTGTTTGTATTACTTTTTTTTATGTTTGTGTTTTATTTTTTAATGTTTATTATTTATTAACATGCTTTATGAATCGAGGCGACGTACATTGGTCATATGGTCTTCATTGACAAAAGGGCGACCTACATTGGTCATATGGTCATCCTCCAATCCAACAGTGTCATATGATACAATATTAGTTCCTAAAACTGTACACATGATTTGAAGACATTCTGAGATTTTTTGCAACAGAAGTGGAAGTAAATGATGGTTCTAATCTGGCAGCGTGATAGTTCCATTTCAGACACTTAATGATAATGATATTTTTCTCTTTTCCAAATTTCGCAAGACAGTGCTCTAAAAGAAGTTTCTTTCTTTTAAATACCAAAAAGAATTTTCTATGAACATGTTTGTGCCACAGCAACACAAAGGTTAGTATTGCTGTGGAATGTTCCATGTTTTCACAATATTTCTTGGAGTTTCTTTGCTTCATTTTATAACAACATGGCAAAAAGAAAAAGATGATTGACAGAAGAAATAGAAAAGGTTCCTCAAGGTTTGTAAAGTACTTATTTATGTAAAAACATAGCACACAGAACAATACAAAGTACTGAAGACAACTGTAACTTCTTCTCTCCCATTCTTTTAAAAACATGATAAACACTCCTAACATGAACTGTTTGTGCAGATGATATTTGCAGTGGAAAAAAACTTTTCTTTAAAGCCTAATAGTTATAATTCTGTACGTATGAGATAACGGTCATAAAATAATTATGTTTTCTATGGTTGTTGGAGGGTTATAAAATCTGTGCATTTGGTCAAGTTTTTCTTTTCTTTGTATTTTTATCCTTCTTCCCCACAAACTAAAGATAGTGCTAAGCCATTTCTGCTTTGTTGAAAAATAATAATTTGTGTGTTAATAATACTAAATAGTTAATAATGTACCATTAAATAGTGAAAAAATTGCCATCTAATTTTTTTTTTTCTCCGTGCCATGGAAAGGATTGGCTATCTGGATAACTGGACTGTCCTGCATTTGACAAACTATGCCCAGTTTTATTTATTGTGTAGTGGCAAATTTTGTATTGTTTCTGAATGAAACTTTTTGCTTGAACCTGCACATTAAAAGATTTTATTTCTAATTAAAAAAATTTTTTACAGCATCACACACTTACCAGGGTAATGGCCGAGTCCCAGGGCCCAGTGACCAATGTACAAGTAAGACGTCAGGGCCCTAGGACCAGGATGTCATTTCAGGTAAGACTAATTTAATTTAATTTTATGTTGTTATGTAATTTAATTTTATGTTTTCATGTTTTTTAATTTTTAAGGAAGATATTTCGAGTATTTGTGTATTTTTGCTTTGCAGCAAAGTGAGAACTGAATTAATTGAATGAGAAATTATATCTCCAATTAAATTCAAGGAAATAAGTTTAAATGAAATGCAGCAAAAAGTGCAAACTGTCCACGCAGATGATATTTGCAGTGGTGCGAAACTTTTGCTAAAACCTGATAGTTATAATTCTGTATATACGATATAATTTTTAAAAAAAATAGTGTTATTTTCTATTGCCTTTGGAGTGTAATGAAATCTGAGCATTTTATTTTGATCAAGTGTTTTTCTTTTCTTTATATTTTTAATCTCTTTTTGCATATTTGGAAAGTTCAAGAATTCAGATATATTTGTTCTAAAGTCTATATGAGTGACACATGAAAAAATATTTCCTTTCTTCAAAAGAAATTTTAGAAAAGAACTTCTGTTATGTGGATCACTTGTCTTCTGCTGATCAATTTAAAAAAAGTGTGCTCTTTTCTTTACTGGTGAGGAATTTTTGCTTTTTTGCTGAAGTTTAGAAAAAGGTGCATATTTTAATAAAGTGCAGTAAGGTAATTTAGAACAATGAGTCTGGCATATTTATTGATTAACAATTTAAAAAAATCTGTTGTGTATTTAGTGTAATATATGGCCCTAGAAACATTGTTTTTATTAATTGCATTAATGCTGAAATATATCATTTACCTTAAAAGTGTAATTAAATTATCAAGATGCACTTTTATTGCTGTTCTTTGACGTTTGACAATTTATTATACAAATAGTTCATATTTAAATCTTATTTGAACATTATAGTTTTTAACAGAAATATTTTCTGACTTGAGGTGAGATAATCTTTTCCTTACAAAGCTGTTAAAAAAATGTCAAATCCCTTTCCAACCTAAATCGCATATCTTTGCTAGTAAGTTCAAAGTATTTTTCAAGGTCATAGGAATGGGACTGGATGATAGATTATATTCATGGTGAGATAATTCTTTTTAAATTATCCATGCTTCAAAGTTTTATAAGTTAATTAAATCTGAAAGATGTTTAAAGAATCTTCTGTGTTGCCATATGGAGTTTGGAAGTACCTAGTACTCTCTTGTGGTTTGCTTTGATAGGAAATCACTGTGAGTGACCCTTCTATTCTTGGATCTGAGTGCTTAAATAAGAGGTTTTGTGAATTACATGCTACAAGTTTTAAACTGTAAGAACTGCTACGACTAACCAAAACTTGTATCTAACAAAAATGGTTTCAGAGGAAAATTTTACTTGTAGCTGAAGGCATTACCTTGAGTTGTCTAGTGTCTCCTGTCCTCTGTGACATACACATGCATTTTCTGGAGTGCAGGACTTGAACAGCTTGAGTACATATCTTGAAGATTAGTCAATGTTTTAATTACAATTAGATATTCTTTATTGTGAGTACAATGTGGTGGGATATTTAGAAATGTTGTTTTCATAGAATCTTATAGTTTACTTATATTTATTTTAAAAAAAATTATTTCCGTTGGTGATCACTGGACATTTCTTTCCACATATTTTAATAAAACAAACAGAAACATACAGTTTTTATGTGAATTCTACCATTCTACTGCTTGGTGCAGTTTTGGCACCAACCTTTTATGCCTGAAACAGTTTTATAAACCTATAGTTATTCTTTGTACCTGCTAATGAAAATTTTTTAATTTTTTCACAAACATAACTGTTCACTGTTTTCTTTGGAAATGTAAATATCCTTCAGAAATAAATGTTGCTTTTCAGAAGTTATTATATGCCTTGTTGTACCTTATGTTTGCTTTATTTTGTTCCAAAATAATGTTTAAACTCTTTGAACATTTTAATAGCAAGCATTAACTTGTAAGGTCTCATTTATTTTATTTTAAAATTATAGCTGATTGAAATGGCAGTCGTTGATAGCGATATATTCCTACAGGCAATAAGCGTGATGATATATGGGCAACATAAGTAGTCTAATGTTGCTGTGCCAAGGGTTGTTAACAAAGAGCAAAGAGATCTGGGCATGTGGATGGCGCAACCGAAAGTGGAATGTGTCAAGATACCCTCTTCATATCTTGTGTCATCCAAGATTTACGACTATATTGAAGGCCTTTAAAATGGTTTCCACCTTCAAAATCTTACACATGACTGTGACTGAGTGTCAGATTCTGTGTTGCATTGTTTTTGCACCTGGCACACATTCTTGATTTTTTTAATAACATATGTGTTACTCAAAGGAAAACTAGGTGTCACTCTGATTACAGAGACCTTCGCACATTTTTTGGATGATTTTCATTATAATTGCAGAAATATTTTACCTAAAATTTTTGTTTTAAATGTTCTCTTTGAACGCCCTTATATTTCACTGCCTTTATAAACTGTAATGTCCAGCCTTTTGTAGTATTGGAAGCAGTATTTTGTTTTGTTGCTCTCGAACAGCTTTCCAAAGTCTTAAGGAGGTTATAAGTCGACGTCTGGACAACCCACTATTTAAAATTCCGAAAACAAAGGGGAAAAAAATAGGTAATATAGCAAAAGATTTAGTAGGAATATGAGCAGTGGGTATGACCTTGAAACCTGTTTCTTGTTCCACTTTTAATAGTATGTGGAGTTTCTCTTAACAATTTTCTCCACTTTCTTTATGTTTAATTTGCCGTTATATATATATAAAACAATCATAAATTCCTTAGAAAAACCTTTTTTAGATTCCTTGAACCATGTTTAAAAACTCTTTCTTCACTTTGATGATAATAAATGGATCTCTTTTTATTGCAGTCATTTAAGTACATGCTAGTTTCATCTATTATGACAAAAAATTTCCATTTTTGGCCAGGTAAATGTTTCTGATAAAGAATTCTGCTGCATGTTCTGCTTTCAGCAGTATGTTGTGGAGAAAGACATTGCACATTATTTTTTCCGCCTTTTTAAATTCAAATCAGCATTGTTCGCTTTGTTTACAGTTGACACTGAGCATTTTAATGATTTTGCGACTATCCTTAGATTTAGAAGATGTTCTTTTAACATTAAAGATATTACTTTTGCAACACTCGAAATATTCCATGTTTTCCTGGGATACATATTTGGAACAATTTTTCCACTTGAAACTAAATCTTGATCTTTTTCCAGGGTTCGCACGGTCCTTAAAAGTCCTTATATTTTTTTAATCGATTTTTGGTCCTTAAAAGTCCTTAATTTTGGCCAAAATCAGTAGAAGGTCCTTAATTTTAATCATCTGAAATTTCTCTCTGTTTTTACGACTGCTATTTTGAGTGTGAATTAGCATTTTGGAGGAATATTTTTGGCAATTCACTGACGTATAATGATTATCTTTTGAATGGGTTCATGGGTTATAATTTGTTTCCATTTCTAACATAAATGATGGGATACTCGAGTTTCTAAGCAAGAAGTGAAACATAAGCATTTCGAAATTCATTTTTTCTAATAAAGAGCTCATAAACAACTTTTCGCTTTTGTCGTTATGAATTCTTTTATTAAATGGTTCTAAATTTGACAACTTATCAACATTTTAAGATCAGTTTCTATAGAAAATTTTTAATGCCGAGATCTGAGAATTTTTCGGCGATTTTTTTAAAACATCATAACATTGATAAATTTCATTAAAATAATGGTAATATATTAGAATTATATTTAAAAAATAACATTAAAATAAAACATTTTTATTTTGCGTTCCTATATTATAAAGTTTCATTTTGGCAACTTATTATACAATATTTTAAATCTGAAAAATAAACAAGTTATATAGCTATAAAGCATAATTTATGAAACAGCTCTTAGTAAAAGCAAAATTAGCTATGTAATTAATTAAAATGTCTTCTTTTTAATTTTTTTCATAGTAAGCATTTTTCCCATGTAATTGTCTCAGATTATTCAAAATTCTCAGAATGTGTATCAGTTTTCTCTATAAAATAAATTTTACCCTTTTCCCTCCCCCCCCTTTTTTTTTTCCAAAATATTTCTGCTTTTTGCTGTTACTGAATTGGTAGGGGTAATTTTTCTGTAGTAGTTTTGACATTGCAGCATGGAAAGTTTAGAAGGATTTGAAGCCAATATTTATAGACCCACGATACTAGAAGATTCGAGAAATATGTGACAAAATGAAAAATGTCTCCATGGCATCAACATGTAATGGATACATTTTACAGAAAGTTTGTGATGAATTTCTTACTTTTTGGAGAACGTCTGGAAGAACAATGGAAACATAATATTTGAATGTTTTACTTCTGATACCAGAATCTTTTTTCTTAACATGTTTATCTTCCCTTTATTTTCTCTACTTTTCACTAGACGAAAGTATGGAAAATATCAAAAATGCTTCTAATCTTGTCACTTGGGCAGACATTATAGAAAGATGTTTTTTTATTAGTAAAAAAATTGAAAACTTACAATTTAAAAGATTCATCTAATATGTCTAAATGCATCGTACACAGAGCTGGTGCTATGCATTTTCCCACCTGATGCAATCTCTGTGTATCTTAAATTCTGCTGCCTAGTGCCTATCTAAATTCTGCTTCCAATGCTTGCTCTAAATTCTAAAAGTTTGGCCATTTCTAGATTTTGTTGTTCTGTGTGTCACTAAATTCTAAAAATTCTGCCACACCTGCTCTGAAACCGGCCTTTACCATATATATTTCATATTTCTTCTGAATATTCATATTACTAAAATAAAATTAGCCTCTTTTTCTGTACATTCTAAATGCATTTAGTGTTTTTTAGAATAATAGAAATCCTTAATTAAATCCAAAAATTCTAAAATTAAAAGGAAACACGTTGAAAAAAGAAACCGAATACATAAAGAAAATTATTCTTCAAAGATATGTGCAGTTATTATTATGTAAATTACCCAATTTTTTATCATTTCAGCCTTTACTATAACTTCCCATTTCTGTTTCCTCATATAATAGAGTTACTGAGTCAGATTAAATTAAAATTAAATTGTATTATCTTTGACCACTAGTCCACATTTTTAGTTTGAATTTGACTGTTCTTGTTTAATTACGTCACCATGAGCTGTAATTGACTTTGTTAACATCAGAACATGCCTTTATGTTCTAAGTTCCTTGTCTGATATTGTAGTTACTTTCAGATACAGTGATAATTTTCTTCACGTCTATCGGGGGTGGGACTATTTAGCTTTAACTAGATGAAGTAAACCATCATAGGTACATTGTGGAGAGGTTCACAAGTTAGCAGATAAAGCACACAGAAACTAGCGAGAACATTGGTTTGCATAGAGACAAATTTCTAATTATTGTCAGAAAAGATCGATAATTAAAGAGGAGAAAATCGATATAAACTAGCCAAAATGTTTGAGAAGGCTTGTAGAGACATTAAGTATTTTTGAAAGCAGGAACGATAAAAAATTAACAATGTCTTCGCCGGGAATCGAACCGCGGACCTCTGGAATACCGCTACCAGTGTGCAAACTACTACACCACGAAGGGTCACCAAGAAGGTGGGAGAAATACCTTATATACTCCCCCTTTTAAACGGCGACTGGGATTTTTAGGGAATCCAATCGCCAAATCCTTTGTGTGGAGAACCCATCGAGTAACCATCACCCATCAAATAACCATCAACACCATCAAGTAAAACTTATTCTTTGCATCTACTGAGACTTATATATAAAACAACTTATCTCCTCTGGCGCTTCAATGGCTTATTGGAACCTTAAAGTACGTATATTAACTGGGTTACAACCCCTAGAACTCTACATAAAGCTATGAAATTAACTGCATTAAGCAGAGCTTGACTAACTTTTCAACAGTTACCAATTGTGCCTACATCAGGCCTTTCAGGTTTGTTCCAATCAGCGGGTCTCTCTATAGACAACATTCGTTCTTTTGTTATGAATCATGCTGATTATGATCTCACTTCTCATTTTAACCTATGCCGTTTGACATAAAATCTCCCTACTATTTGCTAAACCTCTATACTGACCAAGTATGTGACAAAATGAGAAATTTAAAAAAAAAAAGCATAAAGCTAACCTTTAGTAAAACGTAAATGTCACTTACCTTCTTTTAAATATCTCCAACTATTATAAGTGTAAAATATTTAATGCTATTTGATAAACTGCATGAAATTTATTTTATTCTCAAACCTACTCCTCTAACTAGATGTGAATAATGTTGTTCAGAAAGAACACAAACATTGCCTTCTATTCAGTGCTTCTTTAAAAGTTACATTTTGAATTAGAATGGAAGTGTCAAGTAGCAGACTAGTTTACACTTTCAAAAATATAGTTTCAGTAAAAAAAAAAAAAGCAGTTTTTTTTTTTTTTTTTTTTTTTTTTTTTTTTTTTTTTTTTTTTTGTAACAGGAAAGCAAAAAAATCATCTAAAAAGTGTGTGAAAAAAAATTTATTTGAATTTTTTTAGTATGCTGTAAAGCATTCTCTTGGCGAGCAGTAACAGAACTAAAAATATCAAGATAAGTAGGTAATTTCAGTCACACACGGTGTACATTTTTATTCCAGTTGTAAATATAAAATTTCCAGTCACATGATGTTTAATTGTTTTTGTATTTTAAATATCAAACAAGTGTTAATCTTATTTTGGGCACTCTTTTTTTTTTTTTTAATTCCGTAGGAGTAAGCTTCCGTAGGAGTAAGCTATTCTGAATGAATGAGTTTGTTGTGTCTGCATAACATTTGCAAAATATGCAGTTTCTTCTAGAATTTTATATTTTACATAAAATTCCTATCTACGTTTCTAGATTTCTGTGTTATGGATGCTTGTTTTGTATATAATTATATTCTTTCATGTACTGCCTAATAATGATTAAAATAGAAATTTTTTTTAATGTTCTTAAATTATTTTACTCTATTTTATAATAGGCAGAAGAAACTTCTGTCCAAGAAGATACTTGTAAGTATTCATATTTTTTAGGTTTTTTTTTAATCATATTCTGGATTAATTGTAAAGGCATCCTTTTTTTATATACTTTTGAAATCATATACAAGTTTTTTGTAGGATGGTGCGGCATTGTATGTGATGCTGTAATTTAACTTATACGATTGTTTCACAGGCCAGCAGCGGCCGAGCGGTAAAGTCGCTGAACACTGGTAGTTTGGTCCGAGGTTCGAATCCCGCGAACGGGCTGCTGCATGGCCGTTTTCGTGGTTTCGTGTGTAACGTGTATACGAGCCAGTTCCCCTTAAAAAGTCCTCCACGAAGGCATCCCTCCCCTTAGGCAGGTAGCCCTAGTGTGTTTTGCCATAATTAAATAAACCAAACCTGTCTATATATAGACAGCTGCTATATAACAGTTTTAGTCTCTTTTCTCGAAGTTTCTGTGAGCCTGTTTTGCTTTTTCTTTTCCATTCTACATTACCTAAAATGTAATGTAAAATATTCGTTCAACTGTAATATTTTTTGTTCTCAACTTAAATTATTCAGTCATGCAATAAAATTCCCTTTTTTTTTAGTTGCATTTATAATGCAATATTTTCAGTTTCATGATTAAACTAAAAAATGACTCTACTGTATTTTCATAAATGTACTTTATGACCGTCGACTGTAGGCTCTACTTTACCCCTACACTACAGCCTACAGCTCTCGTATCTGGTGTGAGATTGAGTGCGATATGCTATCTGCACTGTGCCCGGCCGCCGACCACTGGCCACATCTAGTATAAAACTGATTAACTAACTAACGAAATTCAGTAGATTGCTGGTACATACAGAAAAAAGTATTGAGAATTTGAAAAAAATTTATTTTGGTTTGTGTACAATTTCAGTTTTTATTTATTTATTTAATAAATGATGTGCCTTTCCTAAAAATACATTTCTGTGTTTGGTTCCGTATTAATTATATGTTGAAAGTGCATTTCTGTTAATCATGAACAGTGTATACAGAAAAGTTTGATTCCTTTCTTTTTTTAAAAAAAAAAAAAAAAAGTGTATGCGGAGCAAAAAGAGAGAGCAACCAGAGCAAAAAAAGAGGTCCACCCGAACCAGTCCACCAGAAGCAGAAAACCAAAGAATGAGGTAATTTTTTTTTTTTTTTTTTTTTCCTGTAGTATTTCTCTAAACCAGGGGTTCTCAACCGGTGATATGCATTTCTAAAAGCCAGTGGTGTGCGTACCACTGCTGGTATGCAAGAGAAAAGTGGGTAGTCTGCTAAGAAGCAATTTTAACTAATAAATTAAAAAATGAATAGTTTTTGTTCAAAGTCAATAGCCACTTATAGACTTTCGCAAGATCCGAACGATCTGTTTGCATGGCAGTTTTCGTAGTTTTTCCATGTTGTACGTTTCACAAATATTCTTTTAGTGGTTGACATAACAAAACTTACCATAAATGACGTTTCTGAAAGGCGTGATAGAAATGGATGCTGTATTTAATAGGAAATAAAAATAAGTTCCTGTAAAAAAGAAAAAAAACTATCTCTTTAATTTGCTAAAACTAAGTGAAATAAGACAAGACATATAGAAATTGATTTCTCTTAAAAAGGCTCAAATTTGCCACTAAAGTTTAGAATTAAAAATTAATTAAATTTTGATAATTAAAATGGTAACCAATTTTTAATCTAATATTTTATATGTGTGTATATTTAATACAATTAGCCAAAAGGTTGGGCAAATGACAAAATATTTTTTAGCCCAAAGGGCGTTAACCCAAATGGGCTATTAATTTCAAGAAGGCATTTCACGTTGATTCACTTTTGAAAGTGTTGCCACCAAATATTATTGCCATGCATTATATATTTAAAGGAACTAAATAATAAAGAATCTATGATTGCATGAATGTTTCTTGCAAGGTGATAAAACAACGGTACCTAGAACCATCAAATTTTGAATATGGTAGTCTTCCAACCGAACATGGCCACCTGAACGCCCATATTTAGAATTTCGAATTTGTTTAATGATCTATTTTGCAAATCTTTAACGAATTTTTAATTAGCAAACTCCACGATTTCAAAGCGAGCCATGTACGGACATTATTATCTCCAACTCGCGACACTGTGCATCGGAAATTCTAAAGGTATGTTGTTTTGCTGTTTTTAAATATTTTGTAATATTGCTGTTCAGTTGAATTTCATGTATTTAAGTGCGAGGGGTATGATATTTAATAAGTAAAGGTAACACTCGAAACATTTAAAAAAACATCCTTTTGGGAATAATATAAAATCTGAAAGGATTCAGTTTCTTTCTTTCTTTTTAGCCTAAAGGCCAGAAGCTCTATTAACTTCATTTTTGGGCATTTTACGTTGAAATCTTAAATGTCCGTTTCACTTTTCAAATTGTTGCAACCATAAAGAAATTAAGTAATGAAGAATCTGCATGAATATATGTATTTTTCTCGCATTGTGATAAAACAACGGTACCTAGAGCGATGAAATGTTGAATGACGTAATCCTCCACTGAATATGGGCATCTGTAAGTCCTAATTTTGAATTTGTTTTATTATCGATTTCATATTTTGTAACGCTTTAACGAATTTTTTATAGAAGACGTAATGATTTCAAAGGGAGCAACGGCAAAACTGTACGGGGGAAAAAAATAACTATCTCTTTATTTCCAGCACAGGAGACTGAGTATCGGAAATTCTAAAGATATGCTCATCCGATATTGCTGTTGAACTGAATTTTATGTTTTAAGTGCAAAGGACATATTTCATAAATAAAGGTCGCACACAAAACATTTAAAAAAAATGCCTCTTTTGGCATTGGTAAAATCTGAAAGCCTTCAGATTTTATTTTATTTTAATTATTATTATTATTATATTTCTATTTAGTAATTGAAAAGTAATCATGGTAAAATATAGTTGTGGTACTAAGGGTTTTCAGTTTTTGTTTAGGTAGTACACGTTGGTCAAAAGGTTGAGAACCCCTGCTCTAAAGCATATGTCTAAAAAATTCATGAGTTTTTTACTTATTTTTATTTTAAGCATTCAAAATATATTTTAATCATTATAGCCGTATTTTTAACAATGGGAAACTTTGCAGTAGCAAATTTTTCACAATTTTTTTTAGGAAATTTCTAACAGGTATATTATTCTTTTTAAAGCATGGAGATTAAGACTTAATTGTTTCTATTTTTATAAAACAGGAATATCAGTAGTTCTTCAAAACCTTAATGCTAACTGAGCAATTTCTGTTTTCAAATTTTAAAGAAAATTTAAGTTACAGTTTACATGATTTTAAGTATATGCTTTGGCTTCAACTCGCACTCGCAGTCAGATGGTGGTTATATATAGAGTTGTGTATTGTCATTTGTGTATTGGATGGAATTTTCAACAATATTTCATTTTTTCTACAAATATCTCTCTGAGTGACCAGAAATGTAGAGTTATAATTGTAAATGTTGTTTAGAAACCTGAAGCAACATTAATGGGAATTTCTACAAATCTATGTGTTTTCAGTTAAAATGCTAAATATAACCTTTGTTCTGTAGAATCCATACAGCTTCTCATTTTATCCAAAATAAGTGCATTTCAACGGAATGGTAAAACGTAGTAAGCAATATATATGGATCTTTCCCAAAAAAGTATTTTTCCACAATATTATTTTGGATATGTGCACATGAAGGTTTCTCACATTATAAAAATTTCTATATATTTAGCTATATTTCACATAAGACACTTCAACACATTTTACTATATACTGTTGACTACAGAAAGATTGCTCTCAAGAATTTCCATCATGCCTTCATCTTTATGCAAAAATGTTTGGATTGCAGTTAGATTTTTTTATTGTGAGTTCAATGTGGTAAGAGATTTAAAAAATAATTGCTTTTATAGAATCTCGTAGTTTACTTACATTTATGGAAAAAAAAATGAGTTTTTTTTAGTTTTGTGATTAAGACACGTTTTGCATTCCATTCTTTTAGAAAAAGAAAAATCAGTTTTGGAACCTGAGAATACATATGTGTGATTTTATGATCTGTGGACAGTTACCATCCTGACATCAAAATGCTTTTTTTTAAAATGGAAAATAAATAATAATAATAATAATAATCATTTTTTGAAATTTCTTTTATATTTGAGCAATATCTCAATATAGAAACATACAGACAAATAACATATAGGATATAAATCCTTTGTATGGTACCTGAAATTTTAGGAGAAGTATTTCAGAAGTGATAAATGTTTGATTGTCAGTTCCATATATTTCATAATTCTGAGGTTTTATGTGTGGCTAAGTTCTTCATAATCTAGTATAGGATAACATAGCAATAAGGGAACATAAAATAATAGTCTAAGGACCTTCTCTAAAGATGTGTAAATATATCTATCCAAAAGTTTTTATATCATGTCATGGAAATACCTTTCATTGTTGTAAATCAGCCAGCAGCCTGGAAAGTTAGTTAACTTTGTTCCATGTCTTAATGGAACACACCTGAGATTTTAATTATTAGTTAGTAATGATTGGCAAAGTGGATCGTTAGTGTGTACTGTTTATATTTATTTTAACTAACATTTATTTTAAGTTCTCTTTCCTGTCTGGCCTTTACTTTTCCCTAGAATTGCCAATGCTAGAGTATGTAAATTGTAGTAGAGCGCACAGTATATTTAAATTTAGCGGAAGTAAGTTGAGTTTAAATAGAAGGGAATCGAGATTGTAGGTGTGCTTCTTCAATCGCGAACGTGCATGTTGCTCGGTAGAAATTTAGAACCACGCATGTCGGCCTGTGTGCCTCTCTCGGCAGATTTTGCTAAATCTCTCAACTGCTTAATCAGTAAGCTCGCTACATCTCAGCGGTAATTTAGAACAGGGTTAGGTTAGTTTAAGATCTCAGAGCCTTGTGGATAGTGATCTCGCTATTTATTCATCCAGTTATTATTTTTCAGTTCTACGTTCTGTTTCAGTTAAACTGCCATTTCGGCAGAGTTTGTGAGCGTCAAGTGGACGCATCTGTTATTTTAAAAGTTGAATAAAAAGGGCTTTAAACCCTTCTTATGTTTCGGTGTAAATTCACACTTATTAGCAGTCACTACCACAGTTTGCTGACAAGTTGGGGCCTCTCGATATCGCAAGTGGAACTGCTTTTCTTGTCCTTTGCTGTAATGCCTAAACATTCGAATGATTCAACATGAAAGACGTGAATGATATTTTTCTTGATTATTTTCTGTTAATAAAAAGATTTTGTAGGTCTTTTGTTGTAACACCTTAGTGAAACTTTTTATTGCTATACTGATCTCAATAGATATATGTCTGGTACCTCTTACATTGAATTTGCATGTTATTAACCGCAATGTTTTTGAATTTTAAGCATGCAGAATTCTTGATGTGTAATACTGTTTGAATGCTTGAAGGAGCTATTGTGTGACATCAGGAAATACAGAGTGATATTAGGTCATTTCAAGACAGTATTAAAAGCAATGTCCCATTCATCAGACTCCAGTTTTCAATTTCTTTTGAAAATCTGACTGACAGCTCACAATGACTACTTATAAAGGTGTTGAAAAAAGCTCAAAAATTCCCATCTACAAACTCATATTTTTTTCATAATTTATAGTTTTTACTTAATATCAATACCTCATAAAAACTGGCATACACCTAGCTCAAGCTTTTTTATGTCTGAGTAAAAATGTAAGAAATATTTGTAATGTGTGCACTAGATATTCAGTTTCTAAAATATTTATATTACTTTTACAGCACTCAGCATCAAGCGCGAGCTCATCTCCTCCTCCTCCCCTCCTCGTAAGTTTTGTGCATCTTTATGTATGTTATAAGGTTTTGCAGGAAAAAAATATCTTAATATTTTTTAAATTGAAAAATATCAAAATTTAAACTAATAAAATTTAAATCCATAAATTATATTTAAGGATATATTTATTATCTCTAAAATTACAAAGATTGAACTAATTTCAATGTAAAAAAATATTTTCTTCAGAGAACTGCTAGGCTTAGTACACGAATGGTAGCACATTTGCTACCATGATTTTAAAAATATATTTTAGCATTAAAAACGATAATTTTATAAAATTTATTTTATACTGTGTGATACACTCACTCTTTTACTTTATATAAATAGTAATTATTAACTGTTTTAGTTTTAAAATATTTGTAAAATAAACAGACAACTTACGTCTGAAAAGGTGCTTGCATTGTTTGCTGCATCCATGCTTCTTCTCATTTTTTTCCTTTAAGCTGGTGCCGCTATCTATGCCTAAAATTTGCTAATAATACATGAGAAAGGTTCAGTCTATAAATTTATGACATAAAAATTATATTTCATGGCGTTCCTGGTATAAAAACGTGGCATTTAATATATGGTAGCAAATATGCTACCATATAAAAGGGTTAAAGAGAAGAAAATCGATATAAACTAGCCAAAATGTTTGAGAAGGCTTGTAGAGACATTAAGTATTTTTGAAAGCAGGAACGATAAAAAATTAACAACGTCTTCGCCGGGAATCGAACCGCGGACCTCTGAAATACTGCTACCAGTGTGCAAACTACTACATCACGAAGGGTCACCAAGAAGGTGGGAGAAATACCTTATATACTCCCCCTTTTAAAGGGCGACTGGGGTTTTTAGGGAATCCAATCGCCAAATCCTTTGTGTGGAGAACCCATCGAGTAACCATCACCCATCAAATAACCATCAACACCATCAAGTAAAACTTATTCTTTGCATCTACTGAGACTTATATATAAAACAACTTATCTCCTCTGGCGCTTCAATGGCTTATTGGAACCTTAAAGTACGTATATTAACTGGGTTACAACCCCTAGAACTCTACATAAAGCTATGAAATTAACTGCATTAAGCAGAGCTTGACTGACTTTTCACACTTACCAATTGTGTCTACATCAGGCCTTTCAGGTTTGTTCCAATCAGCAGGTCTCTCTATAGACAACATTCAGTCTTTTGTTATGAATCATGCTGATTATGATCTCACCTCTCATTTTAACCTATGCCGTTTGACATAAAATCTCCCTACTATTTGCTAAACCTCTATACTGACCAAGTATGTGACAAAATGAGAAATTTAAAAAAAAAGCATAAAGCTAACTTTTAGTAAAACGTAAATGTCACTTATCTTCTTTTAAATATGTCCAACTATTATAAGTGTAAAATATTTAATGCTATTTGATAAACTGCATGAAATTTATTTTATTCTCAAACCTATTAATAATTATGTTAGTTAATTCTAGTAATAATGCATACTACTTAGGGATCTATTTTATTTTTAGGATGGTATTACAAAAGTGAAATTGGGGCATAGAATAATATTTTTAATTGAATTTATTCAGTTTCCATTTGCTCATAGGTCCTTAATTTTTTTCATTAATGGTCCTTAAAAGTACTTAAATTTCGTGTGCAGAAATGTGTACCAACCCTGTTTTCCCTTTGTTGTTGAGAACAGTACTTATTGTAGATTTAGATATCAGAAACCCATGGCTTTCATAATAATTTTTAATAACTAGATAGGAATAATGTTCTTCAAAAAAAAAAAAAAAAAGCCCTCCATTCATTGCTTCTTTAATAACCTACATTTTGCATGAAAACAAAAGTGCCTACTAGCAGACACTAGTTTGTACTTTCTGAAATATAGTTGCAGTTAAAAAAAAAAAAAAATCCAAGCAGTGTTTTTCTATTTTTTAATGTATATAGTCCATAAATAAAAATAAAAACTCAGGTTGTCCTTAATTTTTTTTCATTGCATTTTAATTTCATTTCAAATTCAAACTGTCCTACAAAAATTTGAGTCGGTTTCGACCTGTTTTGAGCGACTCTAGCTCCGACTCCTTTTCCCCAAAAATCTGCCCGACTCCACAGCCCTGTCAAAAACCCATGGCTTTCACAACATTTTTTAATAACTAGATGTGAATAATGTTGTTCAGAAAGAACACAAACATTGCCTTCTATTCAGTGCTTCTTTAAAAGTTACATTTTGCATTAGAATGGAAGTGTCAAGTAGCAGACTTTAGTTTACACTTTCAAAAATAGTTTCAGTTAAAAAAAAAAAAAAAAGCATTTTTTTTTTTTTTTTTTTTTTTTTTTTTTTTTTGTAACAGGAAAGCAAAATCATCTAAAAAGTGTGTGAAAAAAAATTTATTTGAATTTTTTTAGTATGCTGTAAAGCATTCTCTTGGCGAGCAGTAACAGAACTAAAAATATCAAGATAAGTAGGTAATTTCAGTCACACACGGTGTACATTTTTATTCCAGTTGTAAATATAAAATTTCCAGTCACATGATGTTTAATTGTTTTTGTATTTTGAATATCAAACAAGTGTTAATCTTATTTTAGGCACTCTTTTTTTTTTTTTTTTTTTTTTTTTTTAAATTCCGTAGGAGTAAGCTTTATTGTGAATGAATGAGTGTTGTTGTGTCTGCATAACATTTGCAAAATATGCAGTTTCTTCTAGAATTATATATTTTACATAAAATTCCTATCTACGTTTCTAGATTTCTGTGTTATGGATGCTTGTTTTGTATATAATTATATTCTTTCATGTACTGCCTAATAATGATTAAATAGAAATTGTTTTTTAATGTTCTTAATTATTTACTCTATTT